AGGACGCGGCGGCGAGGCTGGGGCGCGGGGGGAGGCGGTTTCTGCTAAGTGACATTTTTATGTTCTGCTAGAATTTGCAATTACTAAATGCTTTGAAAAATAATCCTTGGGGATGACTGTGAGGTTGTATCTAGCAGCTCCCAAAGCACAGAGCAGCCGTAACGGCGGGGCGGGGCGGTGGCGGGGCCGGGAGGGGTGGCGGGATCGCCTTCCCCGTGCGGGACAAACGGACTCTTTCGCACAGGACGGGTGGACTGGCCGACAGCGAGAGCAAAACATTATAAACATGGGATTGAGTGCCCCTGGGAGTCAACTGAGAGTCTTTTCTTTGGCGTGAGCCTGCTTTGGATCCGGCCGTGCCTGGGTCGTATCCAGTCCCTGCCGTGGCTCCGCGAGGTGTCCTTAAGTCACCCGTGCCCGGTTTCCAAAAAACCCTGCTCACAGTCAACAAAGCCATTTTGAGGACCATGTGTGGCTGGAGAAAGCGTGGTCCATGTCCCTGCAACTCACTTAATGGGGGGAAAAGAGAGCAAGCATCACCCTGCATGTCACCTGTGTCCCTGTCCACACCGCAGTTAACGGGCCAGGTGCTGGGATGGGGAAAAGCTGGGGTGGACCCTCATCCCTGCCGCCAGACCCCGGCACACCAACCTTGAGACCTGCACCTGAGCTGGATTCTGTCCAAGGCTGGATGCAGCCCAGCGGTGCACAGCAGGAGGTCTCCCATCCCGGTAACGTCCTTTACACCTTGTAAAGTCAGGGTGATGGGGTGTGCAAACGGGTACCTCAAAGAAGAACCTCAGCATCAGCGCTAAGGCTCCGAAACAGAAGCCAGGACCGATCTGTTGGGTGTAGACGCTCTTGTCTGGATAGAGCCCTTTCTTCTCTTTCATCTTTTGTAGCTGGAAGGAAAGAGAGAACACACTGAGTGTATTCACCCTGATTGAGCTGGTTGCTCTGCATCCGAAAGATCCCATTCATTCTGAAATAAAACCACTCAGAGCCCACTGAGGCTCCCCAGGCTGCAGGGTCTGCCTACACGAGGGAAACACCTCTGCTGTGTGCTGCAGTGGGTCCTCCTGCTTCATTCCTGATCAGAAAGCTCTTTTTTTGATATTCAGCCCCAAACCCAGCTCAGGGAGTCTCTGCCCTCCCCAACCCAGTCTCTGGGGAAACCACTGACCCCCCCAGACCCCTCTGTGCAGGGCTCAGCCCCTGCCCCGAGCATCCCACAAAGCCCCAGCGCGGTGCCCTCCCCTCCGTACCCATTTCACGGTGATGGCCAGGACGGCTGTCCCGATGGGTCCCGAGTAGACGCCGTAGCCCCAGCGGTTGTGGTAGATCCTCACGGCGATGGTGAGGACGCCGAACATGACGAAGGTCGATCTCTGCGGCTCGTCAAACTCTGCCAGGGCTGCGCGGCACCGAGCACAGGGAGCGTCAGCTCGCCCACCCCCTCCTCAGTGCTCCCCGAAATCCTTACTGGGGTCTGTCCCGCCTGCCCTGGGCACCCTCAGCATTCCATCCCAGTCTGGTTTGCCCTTCTCATGCCTCCCAGCTGGGGAAACTGAGGCACACGGGGGCAAAGTAAACCATCTGAAGGCATCTGAGTGGTAGGTCAAGGAGCTGATTTTAGAGGTCTTACGTTCAGTGTTGCGTGTGGAAGCTAAAGGAGATTTCCCACCCGTATTTCTCATTCCTGCCTTGCGATTTCCCTCTTTACCTCGACCCAGAAACCAGAGACAATGGCAAAGATGCTTGCACCCAGTGAGCCTGCAATCAGCTCTTATCATAGAATTATCATAGAAATATCATAGAATCATTAAGGTTGGAAAAGACCTCAAGAATCATCAAGTCCAACCCAACACCACCTTGGGTTCATCCTGCCTCTCCCACCCTCCCAAACTTGCCGGATCGCCCCGATGCAGCCTCCATCCTCCTGCTCCAGTAGGACCAGTCTCACCAGTGCAATAGGGACTGGGCTGCCCAGCTGCGCCGGCACCTGCCTGAGGTTTGGAAGCTGGAAGTCGCCAGTGTGAGTAAATTATTAGAGGCTTTTGTTTAGCGCACAGAATGGGGTAATAACTGATAAAAGTTATGGATCCCAGGGGGCTCCATGCTTTTCCAGCTCGCACAGCTGTGTTATGGCTGTCCTGGATTTGCATTCCGGGAAGCGTGCCCGAGGGTCTGTGTCCGCACATGTGCGCTCGGGCTTTACAAGCCACAGCAAGAGGCTTCCCTGGGCTTCAGTCACCACACCTTCCATGTCCTTGGATCGTGGTTTTATAGGGAGTTTGGCTAAGGGATAATGTCCGCATTTTAATCTCTGTTGTTTCCCTGCGGGTCAATATTTTAAACGTCGTAGTCCGGGATATTGTATTTTTTTGCAAGGGTTTTGAATGCAGTAATGAAGCAATCCACTTGAATTCTGCTGCAAGGAGCCAAAGTGTCTGGATTGGCTCTGACCTACCCTGACACTGCTGCTATCTACTGAAAATGCCCTTTGGAGATGATTTGCCTCATTGCCTTTGCTAGCCGAGCAGAGAGAGCACTGAAGTGACATGGACAATGTAGGAGCTCGCCTTGGGGGGACAGAGCTGTTTCTAAGGTTAATATTTCCCCCACTCTTTTTTCCCTGAATGGAAGATTTGTCCTGTCACATGCCATTGGGAGGAGGATGCTGCTGTCTGCACTGCTCTGCGGTGCAGGGAGGAGGGAGGGACTGGTGAAAGGAGGATGGATGGACCGCTGAAGGGAGGATGGAGGGACCAGTGCTCAGCAGAGGGGAGCAGCCCCACGGCTCCTGCTGGTCCCCCCCATCCCGGCCAGAGGTCCTGCACCATCCCTGGAGCCTCGAGAGGCAGAGGGTGAAGTCCTGTGAGGGTTTTGGGGCTGTGCATGAGCTCTGCAAGCCCAGCTCAGCCCAGGAGGGCTGGGGACCTGTCTGGCTTGAGCGGGGACAGGCTGTGTGGCTGCTAGAGATGGTCCGAACCTGTCGAGCAAAGTCTTTGCTGTTGGAAAGTGACTGTCCCCTCATCTCTCTCCCCTTATCCTGCTCTCTTCTCCTGTCAGTAAAACTCATGTTCTTCCAAAAAACATGATGACAAAATGGGAAAATAACAGGTTTTAAGTTTTTGTTCTTCTTTAGTTCTGTCTTTTTTTTTTTTTTTCATTTTTATTATACCCTGTTTCAGTGGCAAATGAGGAACAAAATGAGAAAAAAAGAAAGTGAAGGGAATGTAGGGA